CAGATGTTGAAGTTATGTGTGTGACTTTGGTATTTTCACCGTTCTTTTTTCCAAAATAGTTCCTATTATTAAAGAATTGTTTCTTTTTACATTGTTGTGAGAACAGTTTCTAATGTTTTTCTTCTAAACACTGAGCATTTCTTATTCATCTTGGATTGTTTACCTGATTTCATTTGCAAGCTATTGGCAAAGCCTACAAAAATTTTAGATTGATCAAGCAGGAGGCCTTACATTTTGAATGTCTATTATGGTCTTTTTAAAGCATCCTCTTGTTAATCGAACGATATTATTTTTGATTATTCTAATTACCGATCTTTGGTTTGTTTGGATTAATGTTTGATGAGCAGCTTTTTGGTTTACATAGATAGATAGTTTTGTTGTCCCATGATCACTTATTGGATCTGCTATGTGGTGGTTACTTATTTTCTGGCTTTGGGTTCCTGATTATGTGGGATTGTGCGCATATCTCTTCGGAATGATTTATTTGAGTTGTATCTCCTTTAAGATTGCTCAAAATTTTGTGCAACAAGATTTGTGGCCCATTATCAGATATTTTTCCATTTCTTTTGCTCCAAAAGGTATGTCTACCAATTATGTTAGATTAATCGCCATTTGCTCACTGCCTGTGTACTTTGTTCTGGAAATTGATGGGATCCCACATGAATGAATCGGAGTTGTCGTAGTTACTACTGCTTGGTGCATGGTAGTTCCTGCAGAAGAGGCTTCATTTTTTCAATTGAAAATCATAAATTGGATAAAGGTTATGAAAAAAATTGAATACAGGTAATACGGTGGTAAAATTATTTTTAAGGTCAGTAGCAGTTGTGGTTATACTCAGTTTAGATCACTTTTCCCTCTTTTAAGGTGTTACTGCCTGTTGTTCAAAACATGTTGACCATTTTTTAATGCCCCTTTATTTTATGTCCATTATTCTTTTTGTTATTATTGTTGATCCCATTTTGCATTATTTCCATATATTCTATGTACCTTAGCTTCCCCACCCCACTAAAAAATAACCTTTTTTTTTTTCGGTTTGAGTAGCAATGTTGTTGTTACCAATCCTATTTGCATTCTGCTCTGTGTTTATTCAAAAAATGAGGAGCACTTCTCAAAATTTCTGTTTTCCTGGTAAAGAGTTGCATTTGATATGTTATTGAAGTTATTCTATTTTAACTCAATGCCTGACTCTTTCTTTAAAAAATTGTAGCCAACTTATAGCTTTTGCCTTTTTTTTTCTTCTCTCTTTCTCCGTCCATAAATTATATATTAGAGTAGTGGTTGATAGAGCATGATAACATTATGTGATTCATGCAGCCTACCTCACTGTGTTATAAGAGGAGAGAATGTCTCTACTAACTTTTCTCTCCACTCCCTCTCCGAGTAATATTTTCATCAGTCGATCAAATTTCAACAGTTGAGATGTATTTTATAAGAATATTATTAAAATATTAAATATTAAATAATAAAAGTAGATAAATAAATTTATACCGTTAAAACTTGATATAAGTACTTTAAATGGTAAATTTTTATATTTAATATTCTAATAATATTTTTACTTAGTTTTAAATCTCTACTATTGAAAGTTAATCCAATGGCAGAGATTAAGTGGGGAGGAAGTGAAGAGAGAAGTTATTGGAGACATTTTTCTCCCAGACATGCAGACACATTATTTTGTGTATTGTATGGATGAAGGCTTGAAGGCTTATAAATAATGAGGCAAACTATAGATTTTATATTGTATACTGATTTGATATCTTGATTTGATGTAATTTTTTAAGGAAGAATTGTGATTTGCTTCATTTATGTTTTTTTCCTTTTTGAAATTATAAACTTGATTCTCTAGAATGCTTTATTCTTTCCACGTATCAATCTGTCTATCTCAATTCTGTCATCACTCACAACAATACTCTAACATGAAGTTTCTATGGGCCTAAATAATGTTATCAGATTGCCCAAAGTAATATTTATGTGACAGAGTCTGCCTCCTGAATCCTGACTAACGGATTGCTGACGTTGTCTGTATTATTGGGTGAATTTCAGGTTGAGGTTTTGAGCAGGGTAAGACATCCAAGCCTTGTAACACTGATTGGAAGCTGCCCAGAATCTAGGTCACTTGTCTATGATTACCTTAATAATGGCAGCCTTGAGGACCATCTTGCCCGCAAAGAGAAGACTCCACTTCCTTGGCAAATTCGAATTTCCATTTCTGCTGATATATGCTCTGCTCTTATCTTCCTTCACTCCGGCAGGCCTTCTATAATCCATGGGAATTTGAAGCCCAGTAAAATTCTCCTTGATGTAAACTTTGTTGCCAAACTTTGTGATTTGGGCATTTCTTCTTTAGTCCAGCGCAGTGGGCATTCAGCTGACAGTAACACAACAGTTGACAAAGGAAATGAAAGTTTGGTGTATGTGGATCCAGAATTTCTTCTCACTGGGAAGCTCACACCAGAATCCGATGTGTATTCATTTGGAATCATATTGTTACAACTTTTAACTGGCAGGCCTCTTTCAGGAATAGTAAGGGATACAAAATGTGCATTGGAGAAGGAAAATCTCAAAGCGGTATTGGACACTTCAGCTGGAGAATGGCCACTTTATCAAGTCGAACAGCTAGCATATTTGGCATTGAGGTGTTCTGAGAAGACTCCGCTGAACCGGCCAGACCTTTTGTCAGAAATCTGGAGTGCCCTCGGACCATTACGAACTTCATGCAGTAATATGTCACTATTTTCTACTTCCAAGAAGCTTCACCGCCCTCCTTCTCACTTTGTCTGCCCCATATTTCAGGTGAATATCGTAAACTGCTCAAACTATAGTTTATGGGGAATGATTTTTTTTTTTTTTTTTTTTGCGTATAACTCAGAGTATCTTTAAATCACTTATGCTTGAGACTAATATCTATTAAGTCGGGAGTGTTAAGTTTAAAGCCCTCTCAACAAGTACGTTTCTCGAGATTCAAGCTTAAGTTCTCCTCCTTATACGGTGTGACTGGTTACCATTTCAACCAATGGCTTGTTGGTTATGGGGAATGATATCTTAGTCCTAAAAGATTTTGCTGAAAAATAAACTGCAATATAGGAATCTTTCTTGAAAATTACTGGGAGTGACCTGAGACATAAATTTATGTCTGAATTTATATTTACTATTTATTTTTCAACAAAATGTTCTGTTATCTAACGGCTATCAAGTTGATATTTTGGAGCCTAATGTCATTCTCCCTATATTTTAATCAAGTGCCATCATCGAAGTCTATAACATATTACTTTCATAAGTAAATTCCTCATGTTTTAATCAAATGCCTTTTATGTGTTGGTAGTTTGTAAGCAGTTATGACATGTCAATTACTCCCTCATACACATAATTTACTGACAATTCCAAAGCAAAGTTAATGAAAGGAGTATCAGATTGCCAATCAAGCAAGCAAAGCACTCATGCAGAACTCGAGTGGTAGCTTTGGCGAATTCTAAGTAGTCATTACTGAGTAGTATTGTAACCTAGGGATCACACTGTCATTTTTCTGGCGACTGTAAAAGGGGAACCTCATCAATATGCATATAGAAAAGCTGCGTCCATACATTAAGAATCTGCATAACTCTGATGTATTGAAGCATAATTGTCTCGCTGGCAGCTAACTATAGATTACTTTTTGGATTGCTATCTAATATTTCATTGGCTTTGTGTTTGATACTGTAGGAGGTCATGAAAGATCCTTATATAGCTGCAGATGGCTTTACATATGAAGAAGACGCAATAAGAGGATGGTTGGATAGTGGTCACAACACCTCGCCAATGACAAACCTGAAACTTGAACACACCAACCTGGTGCCTAATTATGCATTACTTAGTGCGATTCAGGAGTGGAAGCACCTGCAATAACATATTTGCCCTTGATCAATTTTGCATGCACTTGTGTATAGTGGCATATTTACTGGTTCTGTTTATATTATATCCATTATTGTACTGTAATTCTGCCCATGTAATTGATTTAGCAGAATACCTTTCATTTGCTATCACATGGTACACCTCAATCTGTCGATAGCAGGTCTATAGGTATCATTGCATATTTGCATACATTTAATACTTTAACTCTAAAATCATTAGTCTTAAATAATTTTTTTTGGGTAATAATTATGGTTGCTTAGAAAATTAAACTTAATATGTTAGTATTTGAGAATATTTTATCAATATTTAAGATTCTAATATCATCATTTTTTTGTTAAAAATTTTATGATTAAATAATTAAAAGTATATTTTTTTAATGTTAAGGGATCAAATTGAAATTTTCTATAAAATTAAAAGACTAAATATGTATTTTAGAAAATTTGTAAACTTTGTAGCCATCTTTTAGCCTTCGGAGAGCAAGTCCACGGCTAAAATAAAATCAAATAATGCAAAATAAAACGGAATCAGGGTGTTTTTTTAAACATATCTTTCTTTTGTTATTTTGTTTTCAATCAAAAAAAAGGTTTCATAAAAGGCAAAATGTTGCGAAAAATTCCTTAAAATTTGGTAATTGCATAAGAGTCCAAAGGACCTGATTGCAGTAACTAAGAAGGTGAATGGACTCTATTAGCCTTGTTAACTAAAATGTTAAAATCACTAAGAAGTTTGTGACTGAGTGGAAATGAGGCAAATAATTGAATCTGCCTATGAAATTTTGCATGCTTAAAGTATACATTATAACTTTAAAATAAGCAGTTAATCACTTAAAATGGATATGTGTACTAAGAGTTATGAATGTTTAAAGTTAGGGCAGAAAAATTGAAAAGTACAGTTTTATCAAATAAACAGTGAATTTGTACTAATTAACTGTGCAAATTGGTAAGGATTAATTCTAGATTTATATTTTTTTTTCTGTACAGAATTGGAAGAGTTTCAAATAGAATTTTGATCCACTTTAATACTATTTTGCTATAATTAGTTATGAATTTTTAAAGTTAGACTAAAAATCTGAAATTTATCAATGATTAGTAACAAATGCAAGTTTTCAAGCCACGTTTTGTTTCTTGAACTACTTGAACCATAATGCTTCCAAAATCACGCTAAGGGTGTGTTTTGTATTCACATTTGGACACCAAAACGGGCGATTCAAATGGCAAATGGTGCTTTTTCAAGAAAAGCGGTGTTTGGTTTCACATTTTTACAATCTGACTTTTGAGGGTCAAATGGACTTATGGAAGAAGCTAATAAACTTTGCTTTTAATAGTGGCGAACCACCGGTGCGGTAGAAAAGTAATATTTTTCAATTTCTTCCTAATAGTAAATTCATTTCTTTATTTTTAATTATTTTGTTTTTAATATTTCTTTATAATTTTTACATTATATACATTTAATATTAAATATGTACTACTTTTTATCATTAATATAAGAGCTAATTGACTAATTTAGGGACATTAGAAAAGTTAGTTAAATTAGTTTTTGTAATAAATAGATTATGTCTTATATTTAGAATCAAGTTAAATATCAAACTAATTTTTATATTAAGGACAGGAAATAGTATTACTCAATAAAAGTAATATCTTTTTTAGTTATTTTACATCTAAATTGACTTTTTCATTAATCATCCAAACAAGTTTCAGTTTCTCAAACGGATTTTTTTCAAAAGCCAATCCAAACATAAATCACATTACGCTATTTGACTTTTACTCAATTAGATTGAAAAAAAATTACTTCTATCACCATTAATCCAAACACACTCTAAAAGGGTTTTTAAGGAAGGATGTTTCAAGAGCCATCGAGATGAAAATATCTTATTAAAGTTGTGCAGAAGGTTTTTTTTTTTTTTTGGGAAGAAGAGATGGTTTTTGCTACTTTGCAATAGAGCACTTCGTCTTGGTTTCAACATTATAGAGCATCAAAGCATAAAGGTTAACCCTATTCAACATAACTCGTTTTCACATGGTCAACAACATAGAGGGGGTAGCAGAAGGGACTTTGTCTCTCTTGCTTCTCTAGGTTCCTGCGAGCCTTCTGCCAAAGTAAGGCTACGTTATGATACATCGGATTCCTACCAGTCATAGAATGGGTTGGGCTATGACTGGGGTAGTTCTTTTTAGGCTACTTGTCATCCTACTTCTTTGTTGTGTTTATTTCGTATGTTTCGGGTATGGTTTGTCTTTTGTTTTTAGTAGCAGGTATGTCTCTAGCCAGCTTCTCTCACCAATATTATTGTGGCTTCATGATCATCTCAAACTTGGCTCCTCTTCACTGTCGCTGGGGTATAGCATCAGCAGCAGCCTCTCTTTTAACACCTCTAATGGTGTAGGCGTCCTGAGTTTATGGATTCTTTTCATGGCTCGTGGTGACGTTAACTCTTAACAGAAACTTTACGAGATTGTTCGTTGAGTCTCCCCCAAAAAATGTTGGGGCTTTTTGGGTGATCACTCATGGAGTTAGAGTAGTTGGTGCAGAATGAGACAATTGCTTTGGGCTCTCTTTCACTAGCTGGCTAAACCTTGGACCTTCAATCACACTCAGGCTTTTTTAGATCCCTGTTGTCTTGGTGTTTTTGTGTTCATCTACTAGTTTTAATCTTTTTGTACTTCTGTTTGTATGCTCCGATGTTTCTCTATTGTTGTTTTCAGGTTTATGTTATTCATGTTCTCCATCCAAGTCCTTCTCTTTGTGAGAGATGGGCTTTAATAAGTGTAATCATTTTACTTTTTAATGAACTATGACATTTTATAAAAAGAAAAAGACTGTACCATTGTTTTTGTTATTCTGCAGAATGGACCCCTTGGTTTATTTGCCCTGTTTTTGCCTGTGATTTGCCTATGTAAATATTGATTGTATAATTCTTTCTTTGAAGACTAAATATTCAAGCCTGAGTACAAAAGTTTTTAAATATTCAAGAATTTCCTCCTGAAATATTTAATTTTCTAGAAAAAATTAATATTAATATATTTTAATTAAATTCTTTCTTTGCGTGATGTAAATAAATAGCTCAACAAATTTGACTGCAAAAAAAAAAACCACATTGATTATTATTTTTACGAAGTCTTTACATTAAGTAAAAAAAATTTTTATTACAAAAAATATTAATTAGTCAAAAGAATGAAAAATAAATTCTCCAAATGTATTATTTAAAAAAAATGTTAAGGTGTGAATTTGCCTTGAGCTTTTTAATTCAGATGCATTAGGCATCCAAAAAATTTTTTTGGATACAAAGTTGCTTTGAAAATTTAAAATTGTAACAGTATTATCTCCTATCGCTAAAAAACTAACATTGATCGTTAAAATAGTAATATTAACCATTAACATTTTTATTGTAGAAAGTAATATTGTTATAATTTTAAGGTAAATTTACATTTAAAAAACTTTCAGGTGTCCAACACTCCTTAGTGAAAATCCTCAGAGTAAATTTGCACCGTAATCCTAAAAAAACCTTCCAAAAAGGAATCAGCCGTCAATATGGATCAATTATGCGCTAATTTGGTTATGCTGGTGGGAATAATATCAACAGATTTTGACTAAAGATGACCACAACTCGACAGGTTTTGAAATTGATTGTTGATTACAATTTTAAAAGATTGATTCCTTAAAATGTCTAATTGAGCGCAACTCAAAAGAAATCATCTAAACTTTTGATAGTTTGTCAGCTTTGTAAAGAGGGTTTTATTTTTAAAGTTTGAGTTTGAAGATTCACAATTCATTAAACTGAGTTTGTTGGATATCGCTTACATAAATTATAAAAATTAAATGAAGAATCCTAATATTTTATGTTTTGACAATCAACTTCTTTATCATCAAAATTGCTGTTATAGTTAAACGATTTTGTCATGTCAAAAGTTTTACAATTTTTATTGTATACCATTTTTTTTATTTTTTTAAAAAAAACAACACTTGATATTTGACATGTCATTTTAAATATTTTTAAATAGTCAATATAAAATACTTAAATATTTAAAAATATACAATTACTTATAAAGGTAATTAAAATATTTATTTGGTCACATTCTTTTTAAATAAAAATAAAAATATTTAAGGTTAAACATCATAAGTTATTTTTAAAGGAAAAAACTTAGGTTAAGTTACTTATATCCATTATGTTAAGTTCTCCAAATCACGCATGATCTTGTATCATTTTTTATTTCATGTGAATTTATAATTAAATGCTATTAAATACTAATATTTCAAAATAAAAAAAAAGGCATATGATCATGTGTGATTAGAAAACTTGACATAATAGATATAAAGTATTATTCTTTTTTAAATGATTCAGCATATAATAAAATATAAAATTTTTGACATAACAAAAACCATTAACTTAAATGGTAATTCTGATGGTGGTGGAGTTGATATGAAATATTAAGGTTCTTAATTTAAACTTTTAAACTCAGGAGACTAATCCAAAACTTGATGTAAACTTAAAAGACCAAATATATACTTTAACCTATATATTAGTATTATTGTAGTTTAATTAATTAATTAATTAATTTCATCATCATCTATTTTGTTATGAATTTTACTACCAAAAAACATGTGATTAGCGATGGAATTGGTTTTATCACTAATTTTTCTTTCACTGATTGGATTACCGGCAAAATTAGTGACAGAATCAGAATTCCGTTGGTAATTACTGATAAAATTTCAATTTTGTTGCTAATATATTTTTTCAAAAAAATTAAAAGGCCATCTCACCTTCGCCGCCACATATCACCACCTCATTTCCACGTGTTGCTGTCACCTCACTTTTGCCGCGACGTGTTGCTGCCACCTCAACTCTGCTACCAAGTGTCGCTATCTCACATGCCACCTTGTATTGCCACATGTTGCCATCATATAATTCTTCCTCAAAGTGACTTCTCCACAACTCGAACCAAAGACCTTGTTTGTGCACGCATGCAACTTTACCAGTTGAGTTACAATGAACTTACTGACTTATTATGCAAAATTAAATATATATAATATTCTCTTACACAAATAATTATAATACACATATATATTATTAGAAACTAAAAATAAACTATATGATAATTTTAATCATAACTATTTTTGTAACAAAATAATTTTTAGATATTTGTTTTACTATTTATTTTATAATGCTTTATTTTTTGAAAAATTATTTTAAATATAATATTAATTTCCAATGACACTAATTTTGAATTTTAAATAGTAAATAATTTTTTTCATAAATATATATTTAAAATTTAATTCTTTTATTTAACATTCATAAGATATATAATTTAATTATATATTTATTATATTATATTATTATATTATATTAAATATTATATTTTAGCCACAAAAATTAGTGACGGAATAACTTTCCGTTGCTAATTCCGTGGCTAAATTAGTCACAGAAAAGTATTCCATTGCAATTTTTAATTATAAAATTTTAGTCATGAAATTAGCCACAGAATTTTTCGATAAAAAAAATTCAGTAGCTAATTCAGTGGCTAATTTTAGTTATAAAATTTTAGCCATGAAATTTTTTGACAGAAAAAATTCCGCAACTAATTCCGTGACAAATTTTAATTGTAAAATTTTAGTCACGGAATTAACGCCAAAATTTTCCGGAATTAGTGACGGAATTTTCCGATGGAAAAAATTCCGTCGTTAATTTCGTGGCTAAGTTTAGTAATAGAATTTTTGTGGGTAATCTGTCAGAAATTAGCGACGGAAATTATTCTGTCACTAATTCCATTGGCAATTAGCTGTTTTTTTTTGTAGTGCTTAATTTAATCATTATCCAATGATTAATAAATACTTATATATGTCTTACTAACTAATTGTTAACTGAATAAATAACAAATTTAGATGATGACGGCAACGCTGAGAGTCAAATACTGTAGTATCTTCTTTATTATTTTTCTTTAACAAGGGAAGCATTTTCTTTTTAATCTTTTAAAGCACGTGAACATCTATTGAAATAAAACAAATTCTGTTCTGCCTCTTAACTATGTTTGGGACTTTGTTTTTTAAATAATTTTCTACTTCAAAGTTGTCTATATAGAATTGATTCATAATCACATAAATATCTTAACAATTTTGAGCGATGCTGTTGCAATTTACAAAAGGTTAAAATAATTTTAAATAAATATTAGCTAAGTAAAAATGAACAAGTATAATTGTTAAAATGATCGAAGCATAAACAAAATGGAAATAGATATGGGGGCTTAAACGAATCGGTCCTTGATTGCTCAGACTTAGGAAGACTGAGTCTAAAAGTAAACTTATCCTAAAATATTAATTTTAGAATTCCATCCCTCAATTTGTACAAGTTTAAACAGGCTCAACTTGTTTTATTAGCTCTAATATGATATAATGAGATTGTGCTTAATTATTTATTTATTTTTTGGAAAAATCAGTGCTCATAGATTCGTTGAGCCCCACCGAATGTGGACTCTATTGACGTGAGTGTTATATTAAATATTACTATAGTATATTATTGCTGTTTAGGGCAATTTATATATTTATTCCATTATCATCATCATCATCCAATTTGTTGCTTATTTAATCATTCCAATTATTAATATATATATATATATATATATATATTTATGTCTTATCCGATTAACTAGTCAGTAGTTACTAATCGAATAAATAACAAGACCACGACAAAAGTCAGATGCCGTAAACCCGTATATATATCATAGAAGCAACTTTTTTTAAATAATTATTCTTAAAACACACATGAACTTTTATGGTAATAAAAAAAACATTTTCTGCTGTAGAAATCTCATAACCATTTTTGGGATTCTATTTTGAAGCATTCATTATTGAAATGTTAATTTATCTAATTTAATAGTTTTTTTGGACCAAATACCCTTGTATACATAATTGTTGGTGAAAATTTTTAAAATATATTAAAGTTTAGAATTTAAAAAATTTGAGAATACTTACTAAACTATTTATTAAAAATATTGAAACAATAACATTGCCTACAAATTCTTTTAAAGACACATGTTTTAAATTTTCTATACTATAAAATAGATGTAATTTGTATATCAATTACCTGCAAATGATATAAATACAAAAAGATAATTTTAAATACATAATGTTATTTTAAAATAATTTATTTCAACGCTTTGATAAAATCCTATTTTATTTTATTAGTTGTTAAATTAAGATTTTTCTTATTATCTTTTCATTTAAACTTCAATCTCAATTCAAACTTTTTATCATTATCTAGTATTTTAATATCCCTATTCCTTATCAAGTGCATGCTGGCTAAGATTTTCCTACTTTAGTCCAACTCTCCATGCTATTATAAATAATCCTCTCTAGTCGATTACTTCTTATCTTTCTTCCACATCTGAGAGCAACATTCAAAATGCCATCTTGCCATTACCTCTTCAAAACCATTATTGTCGGCAACACAGGCGTCGGCAAGTCATGCCTTCCTTTTCAATTTACTGATAAGCGCTTTCAACACACTCACGACATAACCATCGGCACCGGATTCGGAGCTAAGACAATTTCAATCAATAATAAACTACTCAAGTTGCATATATGGGATACTGCTGGTCAAGAAAAATTCAGGTCCATCACTCGGACTTACTACAGAGAAGCTATAGTTGCATTGCTCGTGTATGATATAACTAGGAAGGAGACCTTTAAACATTTGGATTCATGGTTGAAAGAGTTAAGGGAACATGCTGATTCAAATGTGACTATTGTATTGGTTGGAAATAAATGTGATCTTAATCTGAGAAGAGAAGTGAGTACTGAAGAAGGTAAGCAATTTGCTAAAGAGAATAAATTGATCTTCTTGGAAACTTCAGCGAAATTGGGTCAGAACGTTGATGAGGCATTTGAAGAAGCAGCTAAGAGTGTGTATAAAAAGGTTGAAGATGGATTTTTTGACTTGAAAAATGAGTGTTGTGGAATTAAAAAAGGATGTCTGGAGAATATTAATGGGCGATCTGAAGAAGGAAGGGGTGGTTCCTCTTGCAAGGCTAAATGCTGCGGCACTTGAAGACTTAACAACCCAGTCCATGTTTGCTATATTTTGATTATAGATGCTTTATTTTCTTAATCTTGTGTTCTTTCTTGTATTTTCTTCTGTTGTTTATATAATTTGAATATGAATATTAAGATATCTTTTACATTATTCAATTTCTTTCTTTTCTTTTGACTTCTATTTTGGTATTTTAAAAAGAAATTGAAATCAGTGCTGCTACGCCGAGTGGTTACATATGAATATTAATAAATGAATCTTTATTTTATAAAAGATATGGATTGATTGATATTGATTCAATAATCCCATGATATAATAAGGATTTTTTTCCCACAATGTAGTAAGGATTTATGTAAAACTCTTAACCTACATTAAAATACAAGATAATGATAAATATTTTATATTCAAATTCAAATTCAGATGATAAAAAAGATAATCAGTTAACAACTAATTTAATTTAATAAAATCATTACTAATATGACAAAGCATCGTAAAATAAAGTGTTATGCGCTCAAAAAATATTTAAAATATTTTTTGTCCTGATGTATTCTCCTTTCTTAGTTCATTGCAGCCAACAAATCTAGCATGCCATAAATGAATTCTTTCTTCCAACAAAAAATGCACATTACTTTCTTTTTTTTTTTGGTAAAATAAAAACGCCCATTATTAAAAATATAATAAATTCATCTAAATATTTTCATTGTTGCTTTTTTTTTTTCTTTTGGGAGAAATAAACATCCAGCCCTGTTTTATACATTTTCTCTTCTTTGCTTTTATTTTTTTTTTATTTCTTTTAATGTTAGCCCGACGCAAGAACGGCGTGTATATTCACATGGGACTAGTATAGCATATTACTCCTCTAGTTCTTAATGTAAAAGCTAATTAACTAATTTAAGTTGATTAAGGATGTTAGCTAAATTAGTTAATATGACATTTTTTTTCTAAAACATTATAAATATCTTCCTTAATTTTTCTTCCCTCTCATACTTGATTATTGTTTGAGGAATATCAATAAGGTTAATTCAAAAATATTTTATAAACATGTGAAATAAGTTTTATATATAAGACTAACATTAACTCTATAATTAGGTCCTATATTAAGGACGGGAAGAGTACTTGATAGCATATTGAATTTATATAGATATTGAAAACAATAGTACTTTGCTCTTCGTCATTGGTACTAAATTCCTTTTGGCTTATAAGGGAAATGGTGGGGAGAGGAAATTTTAATGAGTTCAATTTTAAAATTGAAGAAATGAAGTTAAAAAGTTTTAATTTATTTTTCTAAATAGAAACTTTTCCTCATGCAATGCATAGGGTGGTACTTTCGATTAGATTTGAAATTCCATTAGAGTGCATTATTTTAGGGAGGGGTGTTCATAAATCCAATAGTCTAATCCAACCTAGTCCGGTCTCATGAAACCTAACTCGGTCTTGTTTTAAAAAAAAATTGGTATGATGCAAAAAAAGACTAGACCAGACAAGACATAGGACTAGACCAGACTAAACTGACTCTTTGAGTTGGACTAAACATAGGACTGAGCAATCAAGCCAATTAGAATAGTCTGGTCCAACCCAAAAAGAATTAAAATAGGAAAAATTTTGGTAAACCCCTTCAAAAGCCAATTAATATCATTCAATCCCCTAAAAATTATAAAATTTCACTACACCCCTTGACCAAAATTTTTATGTGACAAGATAAAAGTACTCTTACTTTATTTGAGTTGCAAATTGCTGAATTCTTGTCACAAAGCATCAAATTGTTGTTGTAAATGGCCAAATTTGAGTTGTTCATTTATTCACCTATAATTTGATGGTTTGTGACAAGAATTCAGCAATTTACAACTCAAAAAGTAAGGGTACTTTTATCTTGTCACACAAAAATTTTGGTCAAGGGGGTGTAGTGAAATTTCAAAATTTTTAGAGGATTGACTAATATTAATTGGCCACTAAAGGGGTTTGCCAAATTTTCCCTATGATGATCAGTTTCTACTCTCCATCTAAGGCACAAAGTTTTTTTTTCAAAAAAAAAAAAAAAACCTTTAGTCTACTAGACTAGTCTTAAACCCGAACCAAGTCTTATCTGGGGTCAGGCGAAGCTCGTGCTAAACTAGACCACAGGCAGCCTATCCTAGTCTGAACTTCTTTCAAGACAAATTCACGAGTTAGGCTTTAACCCAATCTAGTCTAGTCATTGTGCAGCCCTAATTTTAGGCAACTCAAGATTTACTTGTCGCAAACTGTATGATCATAATTGACAATGATTCCAAATTATAGGATGGGTCCACATACCATGATTGAGAGTTGAGACTATTCTCTATAATATATTAAAACAAAAATTTACCTAAGCTGTCTGGGTTACATAATTTTGAGCTATTGCCTAGGAATTCAAAAAGCCACCTCAATCTCCAATGTACATCACAGGAAATAGAGTTATGCTATTGCTGTAGTTGGCCATAAAAATAAAAAGAAAATAAAAATAAGAGGATAACCAATTAATGAACAAATATAGATCATATTTGACTATCTGATTTTATTTACATATACAATATAAGTTATTGGGGTATTAATATCCTAATTAATATTAATAATGTCCCAGTAACTTCCATTTTTACATTTTGACAGTCTATCTCTAATGCATTAACTCCATTTTTCTAATTTTTTAAATCGAACCAATGCATGGGGTTAGTGGTAGAATCTCCCATAGCTCAGGCTCTTATAATACCTGAACCCTCCATGCAAGATTATATTCTATGAGTTCTTTTTCGGATCTTCTTTTAAATTCTTCTCAAAATCCTTCTTCTCCTAAGAGTAGGCTGCTGTTAGTTTGTTAGTTGGTGATGCTCTAAATACTTTAAAACATTCCTATTTGTGACGTCTCAATTCTTCAGTAAGTCCATCTAGCACCTTCAACTAAATCCTAACCTATTGCCTCTAATCTATGTACTCCTTGGGATCCTCTTCAATGTAGTCTTCTAGATATCACACATAATATATATCATACGTGCGCTGAGATGGAACTAGTAGGCATTTGCCTCAAGTGGATGCCTTTTATTATAATTCAAATTCATGACCAAAACTAATTATTGCATCTAATCAAAGCTTCCTAATGTAACATTCTCTAGAAAGCAGTAATTTTTGTTGCTTAGAGTGTACTGTCCTGCTCAAGCAGAAGTCTAACTATCTTTGCTATAACTCTTCCTTTGGTATAAAAAATGTAATACCCATTGTTGGTAGCATTTATGAAATGTGACAATCAATCAATTATCAACTTTATTCTTAAAATATTGTAATACAATGTAGGCAGGTGATATTCCCCAATATCCCACCTACTACATGGATTTTCCCAATCCTAAGTAACAAACAATCACTCATACTAAGTGTCTATTTGGGTAAGCAGTGGAAGTTCGAATAACCTGTTCGAACTCAAATAAGTGATTACAGAGAGCCGATTTATTTGGTTTGGCTAAATGTTTTGAAATCCCGATAAATTGTAATTCTAGTCACAATCGCATGTTCGAGCATAAGCTAATAGGAGTAGCTTTTACAATTAGAAAATCATGACAGAGGTTCAGCAACAAGGATTTCCCCTATCTATCCTTCTTAATAATTTTATTAAATTGAAATTATATTTAAATAATAATAATTAATTATAAGAATTATATTAACTTATATTTCTCTTATCCACCCTCATTGCTTTTTGATAATTATATATTTATAAGTGATTTTAATAAATGAAATATAAACATAATTTACATTCTCAATGTCAGTTATAAGAAAAAATATCCAACTAGAAATCATGATTAACTAATGTCACTTTCAGTCATCAGTGTCACTTATAAAAATCACGATCATATAAAATTATAGTTGTGTTACCGCTAATCCAAACTCGCACTAAACATTCTTTTAATGAGTTTTCTCAATCCTAATCCCAATTGTTGTTTCTCATTCTCAATACTTCATACCGACCGGGATCTAAGTATATCTAGATGGAGTGAGCCTAGCATGAAGACATACTCAAGTCTTCATCATTGGTACAAACTTCCTTCACTACAAAAAAAAACAGCTGATTAGCGACGGAATTTGCAACGGAAACAAATTCCGTCGCTAATTACCGATGGAATTTGCGACAGAAACAAATTCCGTCGCTAATTTCTGACGGAATTGCGACAGAAATTCCGTCGCTAATTTTTTCGACGGATTAGCGACATAATTTTTCCGTCACTAATATTAGCGACAGATTAGCGATGGAATTTCTGTTCGTTGCTAAATTCCATCGCTAATCTGTCAGAAAATCCATCAGTAAATATTTAGCGACGGAATTTGTTCCGTCAGAAATTTCCGTCGCTAAATTGTTTGTCACAGAAGTTTTTGTCACTAATTCCGTCGCTAATTCTATTCCGTCGCAATTTCGTCGCTAATCCGTCACTAATTTTAAATTTCGTTATTTTAAATTATAATCTTACAAAAATTATATTATAACAATTAAGAATATAATGATTTAAAAACATTTTTAATTATAAAATAAATTGATATACTTATGGAGTTGGTGTTAATGAAGATATCGTCATCATTCATGTCATCATTATGTATATACTGAAAATAGAAAGATAATTTCTTAGAAAACTTATTTATATTTTGTTAAAATAAATTCCTCTTGATTATTAATAATAATTAAAAAAATACAATAAGATTATTAATAACTTTTTTATACAAAATGATATAAGAAAGAAATAATTTTATCATATGTAAAATATATTGAAATATATAATATGTGATAGAAATTCAAAACGATTTAATAAATTTATATGAATGCAAATTAATATTGAAGTGAATTTTGAATTTCAATCATTAAACAATAAAATTTAATCACGATATAATTAATACCCATGATAGATTGATTTTGGTCTTAATACAAAAACAAATGGTATATATAAAAAATTTTAAGAAAATAAATTACATAGGACATATATACAAGCAGGAGAATACTGTTTATCATAATCTATTCAAATTATTTA